TTATAGAGCGCGTCATGTTTATTATCAGTGTATAGATACTCCGTATAATCATACAGTGACATGTTTATCATCAGTGTATGGATACGCAGTATAATACATAGTGACATGTTTGTGCTCAAAGTGAGAATTAAGAAGAAAGGAATTATTGTTATGCTGACTAATGATACATTTGATCCATGTTCTATTAGTGAGTTTTACTAGCCTGCACAGTATCAGTATCATTTTGCCAAGTGAATAAAAGTAAGTGTGCATACACAATTTTTATATTATAATGGGAATTAGAGCACACAAATATTTTTTTTTTAATATGATTTAATCACCATAATGTTTCATAGTCATATTTCTGATATTTCATGAAAATAAAGTCAGTTTTTAATTAAGGTAAACAATTAATCATTTATAGACAGATTTTCTATAACTCCCAGTACATTTTGTTTCAGATATTTCCATCAGCAGAAGTTTTTCTTAAGGAAAGGACAACAACAGAAATACACCAAGCACGATTATGAAGAAATTTTTTTTTATTTTTTTTTAAAGAGACCAAGGATTCCAGCTCTCCAAACTCAAGCAATCTCTCAGAATCCTATATGTCTACAAAGGAGATCGTAAACATAAACCCAAAACCTTTCTCATGTTCTGAATGTGGAAAATGTTTTTGCTGGCAGTCAGAAATTGTAATACATCAGAGAACTCACACAGGAGAGAAACCTTTATCATGTGCTGAATGTGGGAAATGTTTTAGCCAGCACTCAAATCTTGTTAAACATCAGAGAACTCACACAGGAGAGAAACCTTTCTCATGTTCTGAATGTGGGAAATACTTTAGACAAAAAACAACTCTAGTTAGACACCAGAGAACTCACACAGGAGAGAAACCTTTCTCATGTTCCGAATGTGGAAAATGTTTTGGCTGGCAGTCCGAAATTGTAATACATCAGAGAACTCACACAGGAGAGAAACCTTTCTCATGTGCTGAATGTGGGAAATGTTTTAGCCAGTGCGCACATCTTGTTAAACATCAGAGAATTCACACAGGAGAGAAACCTTTCTCCTGTTCTGAATGTGGGAATTGTTTTAGCACGCATTCAAATCTTGTTTCACATCAGAGAACTCACACAGGAGAGAAACCTTTCTCATGTTCTGAATGTGGGAATTGTTTTAGAACGCATTCAAATCTTGTTTCACATCAGAGAACTCACACAGGAGAGAAACCTTTCTCATGCTCAGAATGTGGGAACTGTTTTAGTGGGCAATCAGATCTTGTTGCACATCACAGAACTCACACAGGAGAGAAACCTTTCTCATGTTCTGAATGTGGGAAATGTTTTAGACAAAGCACAACTCTAGTTAGACACCAGAGAACTCACACAGGAGAGAAACCTTTCTTATGTGCTGAATGTGGGAAATGTTTTAGTGAGCACTCAAATCTTGTTTCACATCAGAGAACTCACACAGGAGAGAAACGTTTCTCATGTTCTGAATGTGGGAAATGTTTTAACAGGCATGCACACCTTGTTTTACACCACAGAACTCACACAGGAGAGAAACCTTTCTCATGTTTTGAATGTGGGAAATGTTTTAGCTATAACTCAGCTCTAGTTAAACATCAGAGAACTCACACAGGAGAGTAACCTTTCTCATGTTCTGAATGGAGAAATAGTTTTGTCAATAAAGCAGAGCTTGTCCGTCATCAGAGAACCAGATTTTGTTAAGCATCAGATAACTCACATAGTAGAGTTTGTATAATGTGTTTATGAATTAACATGGGAATAAAACATCTAATATTGTAAAATGTTCTCATCCTGACACAATAAATAATACATGTGACAGTAGCAACCTATAAATGATGCATTGGTATTGTGATTGTGTTAACTCTACAGAGCCACACTTTACTTTTCTTCTCTTTGATATTACTATTAAATTAGAAAACTTCTGTACCTTCCATGCAAAACGCTTGCTTTCTTTAACCTCTTCCTAGGTACATCTGACAAAAAAGTGCCTTATGGTTCTAGTATGTCCGCCACATTCCTGCTTACTTACTCGATCGCCGCCGTTCCCCCGCCACCGATCAGTGTTGCTCACAGTCTGGGTGGACTGCCTGACAACCCAGACAGTCCCCTCTTGGCAAATTAGGCCCCCGCTGGCCATGTGATTGCTCAGAATACAGGGAAGTGTCAGGATTACTAATCAATCCAGCACTAAGAATATATCACACCTAGGACTGAAGATAACGTCTAACCGGACCTTAGAATGGTCGGATGTAACATATCCAAGAATAGTCAGAATATTGCTGAGGTCAGGGATACAGAATCAGACACAACAATGAGAAAAAGCCAAAAGTCAAGGATACCAGAAATCAGGGAAGTCAGAACTAAGCCAAAGTCAAACACCAAAAAATC